GGAGAGAGGGTGTTGTAGGTGTTTCTAGGGAAAAGCGTGTTGCTGGGTAGGTGTAGGAGCATTTATTGCTGGGATAGATCGTGGTGTTCGGAGAGTCTCTTGAAAGTTTGAGGGTGTGTTACAGGCAGTTGGATGTGTTGAAAAGGGATTGATATATCGCGAGGGTGTTTTGGGGGATCTAGAGGTTGTTAGGGTAAAGTGCTGGGATTTTGAGTGTAGAGTGAGATAGGATGTGCTGCTAGGAGGATTGAAGTATTCAATGGAGGATTTGAATATATTTGGAATGTGGTTATGTGTTGCAAGGGCGATGGTAGTGTTGCGGTGTGTTGAGGAAGGAAGCGCCGCAGAGTCACTAGACATTTAATATGTAGAGGAGGAGTTTTGTGACAGGGAAGCATATATGAAATAGTGAGGAAGTTATTGAGACGGGGAAGAATGTGTGGAGCTACAAGACGGAGGGAATGAGGAGGAGGTATGAGGATATGGAGGATGATGAGATGGGGGATAGAGGATGTCATGGCAGGCCTGGGGACAGCAATATGAAGGCAGTGGAGGAGATGGGAGTGCAGGGTGCTGAGGTGAGAGTAATCCAGAGGGAGAGGTAATGTTGACGGGCGAGAAAGTGTAGAAGTGGCTGGGGTGAAGAAGTCCTAGAGGAAATTATGCCTAAACCAGTAGGTGTTCACTCACCTGGAGACATATCTCGTCGATTTGATCTATGGTCGATTTGGATCAAGTTATAAACTTAAATTTTTCCTTTGAAGCAGCTAATTTTTCTTGATTGTCAAGATTCGTCATTAGATTGCACCTCGTCTTGTCCTAATCTGTATTTCTTATTCCGGTTTTCTCTCCCTGCTGATTTTGTTTTGTGTTCCATGAGGCGGCGGACACGAGCGAGGAGAGGAGAAGTGGTTCAAGATCTTAGAGGATATCCTTCAGCGACCCCAGAGGCTTCCTTCTGACAACACCCTGAAATTACTAGCCTCGTGCGAAGCTACCAAAACAACTAGCGGTGAGTGGAGAGATAGTGAGAACGATATAGAAGGAAGCGGGTATGCCACGGTTCACATGGTCATTTGTCGCCTGCAATCACCCAATCGTGAGAGGATATATATGTGAGGAGGAAAGATGGGGAGAATCAACTTATATTCCAGAGCCATAGAGAGTTCGGCCAACCGGGCGCCTTCCTGCTTACTAGGCGGTGGGAAGTCTTGGCTGTCTCCCACATAGTTTATAAACATAGATCCAATCTTAAACATGTCTGATAATTTTACGAAAAAAAATCATCATAATCATCATCCCTACAGTACGAGCACAAACTTCAACAGCTGAGTAACAAACATGGCGCCAGCTTATAACCCGATTTGGCCAAACTCTATGGCTCTGCCTATATCCAGGTGAGGAGCAGTAGGGAGGCAAGCCTACGCGTAATATAACCACTACACCGGCTAACTATCAATAAACACTCTGTTCTCCTGAAGATCGTTCGTTATACATGGAACGATTCACAGCAACATGATTGTCAACTCTGAATCGGACCCTTACTGAGAGACACACAGTTGTATATAATAAAAACAAATTGAATCCAACTGATGTTCCTTTCAGCTGTGAGTACGAGAATATATATATTATATTATGCAGCTCCAAAAATGAAGAACATATTCGCCTGAGCAAGGACCAAGCGGCCTCACCTAGGTTACTGCCCAGGCAACAATCTACCTCACTTTGAACTGTCAGGCGTCTCTATCTATCTATGCGTGTTCGCCCCTTATGAGCTGACTCTGTAGTGACAACGAAGCTGAATTGTTTGGATATTTTTAATTTTAGGATTTGAGTGATTCTGTTCCAATTTCGTTTAGGTTATTTCTCCTACGGTCGCGTTTCCATATAATTTCGAAGTTATTTGTGGTCCTGTCATATTTCCGTAGTATACGAAATGAAACAGCTACATTATCACACCTCTGCCAGTTTGAAGGAAATTTTCATGTTAAATTTTCTGATAACATGGAGCTGCCAAATGCACGATTGCTTTTTCTGAACACTAACAGTTTTTCAGTTGGCAAAACCCTGGTACTGCCTTCTCACCAACTTTTCCTTCAGGATGAGTATATGTGCTGCATCTGCTTCCGCTTTTACTACAAAACCTTTAAAAATTGCATGCAAGTAAATTGTACCTTAGAGAATGATGGTAGTTAATAAAACTTGAATTCTAAGTTTCATACCAAAAGTTCCTCCATATCTGAGTGGAGATAGGAGAAACATCTTTAATGACACGTTTCCAGTTACGAGAATTTGAGAATCCGTATGGTCATTTCGGTCAGATGTTAGTGATGATGTTCCTCTATGCTGCACCTGCAAAAGCGGCCACGCAACAGTTACTCAAGAGCAGAGCATTAATTTTTCAGCTGCACATATCGTCAAAGACGACATCTGTGTTGCATATTAATACATCTTAAGCGCAATATTGTTAAGCATCCTTGTTTATTTTCTGTCTACTTACATATCTCAGTTAATTTTTACAATGCCCTAAACATTATATAGTAGTGTATAACTTTTCTTTGTACGTATGGTCCATATTACCTTGAAATTGCCACAACAATAAAATTCATTCTGCATTGTGATATAAAGAATCAGAGGCAAGCTTGAATGTTACCCAAACCAACCTAACTCTAACCTATAATATTTAAATAATCTTAACCTATTTGGGAATTTATCCACGTCATTATGCTAGTGGTGGGATTTTGTTCACTGCAAAACAACCTGATGGGGCCTGATGGGTGTACCACAGTTGAACAAATGTACTCAAAGTCACAACACAACGTCCTTTCTCCAAACATCACGTAGTGCCAGAACATAGAATACGTCACCCCGAGGAAGCTAGTGATAAGGAGAGAGAAATCACGATGATTTCTGTTGACGCGATGGCTGTGTGTGTGTGGGGATTTCATCCTTGCAGCCGCCATTTCAAAACCTGCGGCTCTACAACACGAAACAATAATTCCTTAATGTTCCCTGATTTGTATTGTCCGGTTTGTTTTTTTTGTTAATCTTTCAACACTAAGACCATTTTATTAACTTTCTTAGGTCCACACCTGTCAGTTATCGCTCTAGTTCCGCCCCGACATTGATGGAAGAATCTTGAGGACTGGTTTGGGGTTGAATTATTATTTTTCCTAACTTAAACGATCTTCGTTACGGTCCTCAGTCATCATCCTTTTAACAATTGCCATTAAACCAAGACTATAAAGGTGCCCAAACCTCTTCATGGTAAGGCATCGTCTACAAATGGTTGAAAGGATATATATATATATATATATATATATATATATATATATATATATATATATATATATATATATATATTCGTATACACGCTGAGGATTAGTGGCACCAACACATTCCTACAGTGTTTATTGGCGAGGGTGTGTGGCACCACATTCTAGTGTTTGGCTGGGCGAGGGTGTCACCAACACATTCTACAATGTTTGGCTAAGGAGGTGTGGCACCAACACATTCTACAGTGTTTGGCTGGGCGAGGGTGGCACCAACACATTCTAGCAGTGTTTATCAAGAGGGTGTGGCACCAACACATTCTACAAAGTTTATTGGGCGAGGGGTGGCACCAACACATTCTACAGTGTTTATTAGGAGGGTGTGTGGCACCAACACATTCTACAGTGTTTGGCTAGGCGAGGGTGTGGCACCAACACATTCTACAGTGTTTGAGAGGGTGTGGCACCAACACATTCTACAGTGTTTGGCTGGGCGAGGGTGTGGCACCAACACATTCTACAGTGGCGAGGGGTGTGGCACCAACACATTCTACAGTGTTTGACTGGGCGAGGGTGTGGCACCAACACATTCTACAGTGTTTGGCTGGGCGAGGGTGTGGCACCAACACATTCTACAGTGTTTGGCTGGGCGAGGGTGTGGCACCAACACATTCTACAGTGTTTGACTGGGCGAGGGTGTGGCACCAACACATTCTACAGTGTTTGGCTGGGCGAGGGTGTGGCACCAAAACACTGTGCAACAACTTATTTAATTCTGATCACATAAACGATAATGGGACAAGGAAAGTCACCTGAATTTAAAATCTCCCACTTTTCAGAAGTCTGCTACACTACCAGGACGACCAAAGGCGTCCGGTAGTTCTGACGAAGAGGACGACGACGACGAACTCAAGCTGATTAAGCCTAAGAAAGTCCCCAGAGTACCCATAGCTGGGCCGCTGATGGGAGTCAACATAAGTCAAGTGAAACTCAAGAAAGTTGAGACCAAAATGAAAGAGGTATGCTTTATATATATATATATATATATATATATATATATATATATATATATATATATATATATATATATATATATATATATATATATATCTTGATAAAATCACACGGGAAAAGGGAAACAACGGAGTACCTTAGCTTTAAACGTGACCTCAAAAGGCTACCAAATTAAAATACTCTCCATGTGAACTTAGTTCACTCTTTTCGGAGAAGCGGATGTCAGGTGAATGGAAACTATTCCTCTGAAAGACGTCTAATTATTTTAATGCTGGTTTGATTCATGCTGACGGAAACTGTTACATGGACACAGACAACCACCAAGCTGTACAGTAAATTAACTAATAAGTACAACATAAACGTAATGTAATTTACAGCAGAGTGCAACAGCTGAGGGAACAATAACACAATATTTATTGACACGTTGATCTTAGATTCTCTCTCCTTTACCAGGTCTCAGATGACGTAGCCTCCAGCTCCTTGCACCAGGAGGACGACGAATCCAAGAAGGAACTAATGTTGCCATCTGGTGGAGAATTCGGAGTCTTCAAACTGAAGAAAATCGAGAGGTCTAAAGAAGATAAGGAGGAAGTTGGAGACGCAGACAATAGTAACGAGGAAGAGGACAAGACTAAGCCTGCTGGAGAATTATTTGGTGTGAAGCTAAAGACGATACAGAGCAAGGATGAAGTCATCAAGCATGATGTCGCTGAGAGTAAGAAGGAGGATGTTGGCGCCACCCAGAAACGACACAATAAACAGCCTAAAATCCCGCTGAACAATAGTGCTCTCCTTAATCGATCAGAAATAAGCTCGCCGAAAACTTCTCCCATTAACCAGAAGAAAGGTACGACCGAGAGAAAGAAGTCACCTTCACCAAGTATTCCTCTTTCAAAGAGTGTTCACGCCCTTACGAAGTCAGTTGAAGAAGTTAGTGTGACGAATGACGAAGCTTTCTGTGAACCATCAAAAAAAGACGACACTGAGGAAACAATAACCAAACATGTCACTATCCATCACGCCAAAAGCATTGAGTTAAAGTATAGTGACAACGTTGAAAACATGGAAAGTGACCCGGTAATGGAGGTGACCTTCATAGAGAAAGAGGAAAACATGCCTGAAATTCAGATAGAAGAATATAACGATGATGAAAAACTAGACATTCCAAGCAACCAAGACCAGGAGGGGCCGGATGATTTTGAGACGATACCCCAAGTGTCCATCGTGGTGAAGGACGACTCTGACGAGGAACCTGAGTATGAAGAATTTGATGAAGAATTCCTGAGAAATATGAAGCAGGTGGCCTATGCCTCACTGCCATTAGAGAAACAGGCCAAAGATGATGATAATGATGAAGAGGATGAAGAATATGACTATGAGGAATATAATGAAGACTTCAGGAAAAATATCACGAGTATTGCATACAACCCCACCCTTGCTCCTTCCCAACTCCACTCCCCAATAGTGACAAAGAGCACCCCCTCGCCTATTCAGTCCACTAGTCAAGCCTCAATTTCACCATTACCTCCCATACCGAGAGATCCTTCATCTTCCTCGGAAGACGACGAAGAGCACGCCTACGAAGAGTTTGATGAAAGTTTTCTGCAACATGTGAAGTCATCGTATATGAAAACCGCGGGGGAGCCTGCCACAAGTGGAGCCTTAAAGGCTCCCGAAGACGGAGTAACTCCACCTCGGAGTCCCTTCAGAGGGAGGACCAGCACCAACGAAAGCACGACCTCCTCTAAAAGCGACGCTGAAAATGTGGAAAAGAAGTCGGGCAAGTTCAAGTTCTTCAGGAACAAGCGGTCTGGAAGCATTGGCTCAGCAGATATGAAGGAAGTTGAGGTGCCTAAAGCTTCGAAAGAAAAGAAAAAGAAGGGAATTACTATTCCAAAAATCCTTTCAGGAAAAAAAGGTCGAGATAAACACAAAAAGTCATCTGATGAAACAGATGCAAAACCTGAGATGCACAAAGACTCCTATCAACAGTCCCATGAAGCTTCAAAGAGTATTCCTGAAAAGAAACCAGAAACTGTTGAGGGCGAAACTATCCAAGATGCAGTGGAAAAAAAAAATTCTAACGAGATCATTCCAGAAAATGAAACCGATCATCCTCGAGGCGACGAAAACAGTGACTTACAAGTAGACAGTTCTCTCTCTATAGGCTCAGAGCCCACTGAGGAAGTACCTGTTGTGATGCGCCGAGATTTGCCACTCCTCAACACAGAGTCACGCTACAGCAGCACTAGCTGGGCGTCCAACAGCTCTAGAGACCACGATCCAGCTCCCTCAGTGCCGGAGAAAACCAGAGTCAGGGCCAAATCCCCTAATCATGACATTCCGCAGAGCAACAGACCAGTGACCAACTTTTACCAACCATCCCAACCACAGGAACATGAGACCGAGGACAGAAAGCCGGTCGATGGTTACATCTCACAGGAGCAGATTGATGCTATTCTATCAGCTAACGAGACTCGTGATAAGAAAAGATTATCACAGTCTCGTGCTCTGGTTAACTTGCTAACAGTACCTGATGGTTCCAAGACAGCGGGAAGGAGCGATAATGCAGAAGAATTTATCTCCAAGCGGCCTTCATATGTTTCCATCAACAGCATGGAAAGCGATGAGCCTCTACCTACGACTAATTTCATTAGCGGAGACAGACGATCTTCAAGCTTAGGAAGCCTCAAAGATCGATCAAAATCCTGTGAGTCTGACAGCTCTGGTGAATTTCATCAGCAGGTTGAGAACGCCTCCCCAGAGCAGGGGGACACTTCGGCAGTCCCTCTAGGGAAAAATTCTCGCTTAACCGAGAGTTTTGCTGCTGGAAACCGCATCAGTCTGACCTCTCCAGAGTTTACAGTCGTGGAAGAGGACGGACCTGGAACTCCAGATGCTACAAATATTTTTTTCCCAGATGATAAGGAACAAGAACCGCCTCACTCTTCAGAAGGTAATAAACCAACAACTCCTATGGGGGACGAGGAAGATGAACAAAAAGATTATTTTCCTACGGTAGGAAGAGACGTTGAACTTCGGAAGTTACCGGCCAACTTGACACTGCTTGACTCCTCCAGAGATAATGTCAGAACGTCTGGCATCGTCGGCCTAAAGGAGTGCCTGAAGCAAATGGGAGACGAAGAAGAGGTGATGGAGGTGAAGACGGGCATCAGCAGACTGGGTCACAGCGCCGCCGTCGAGAAACTAAAAAAATCCTTTGAAGAACTTTGATGAACACGGAAGCACCCAAACATAATTGAATACAATACTGTATACTTATTTTCAGTGATACATTCCTAGTCTATGTTTACCTGAACCCAATACATAAGCCTGAAATAAATTCCCGACACACCTGCGTGAGAATAAGTATTAAGTGCCCCTCTGCTGCTGAGTAACAAACACCGCCACACTCACGCCAGACTCCTGCCTCACCATAGGACAAGGGCAGACTCCAGTAGCGTAAGGTGTCCCTTTTCCGCTATCTCCTACCAGTAGTTTCCTTCCTTTACGGAACCAGCGTTAGCCTTGCCTTGTTCTGGATACTGAAATCACACCTATACCTCACCAGGCGTTGTCATCCGGGAAAGAATCTCTAAGAATGTGATGCCTGTGTATCGACTGGCCACAGCCTCCTTCTGTTTCATGATATACTTTGTAATATTTTTGGTAATTTTTATGAGACGTTTGTTTAATTTTTTCCATCTAATAGTGGCTGTTCATGTATTGATAACTCATTAGGTCAATTAAAATGTAATATTTATAAAAAAAAAGAATATTTTTCTTGCCCTTACCAATAATTTCTGCATTCTGAAAGTCATGTAACACACACACACACACACACACACACACACACACACACACACACACACACACACACACACATTTCATGAACGTGTGAGTGTGTGTTTGTATATTAACATTAATAACGGTTGTTTAGTCTGGGTAGTACTTCTCAAAAAAGTATTCTCTTCTTCATTAACTTTTTAATATTAGAAAAAACCCACAAAAGCAGACGAAATATTTATTCCGAACAGTTTCGGTGTAGTTACAGATAAGGACTGGCACATTCATCTCTACGTCAGCTCCTTATATACAATACTTTAAATATCCAGAATGGCTCATAAAGATAGCATATTTTAAAGCTAGGAAATCATTGTTGTAACTAAATCCCGTCGGATATATGTAATTCATACATATCTTTACCCCATGTATCAAACTTTAGTGTAATCAATTCAGTGTAATTCAGGATTTGGATGTAAATATTGCCCTTAGATATACTTTATTTTTTAATCTATGCTGGTAAGAAATAAAACTATCAGCGATTCCACAGCAGGCGTGTACAGAAGCAATTAGTTACGGAGTCATTCCCTGAAACTCCACCTAGTAGCTCAAAGGACATTCGAGATAAAAGCGGCAAGAACTGGATTTTAACGCATGCTGTGTCAACTGGTGTACAACGATTACATAGCTAGGAACTATCTTGAATCACAGTACGATTGCCAAATGTGTGTCTGCGTGAAAGTATACAAGTGAAAGGCTTGTCACTTGAGTCTACCTTAAGCACAGTCAGATCAGAGTCAGATCAGAGTGACCTCACTTTTCTGAGATGATGCCGCCTCCACCCTATTATACCTCCATGGTCTGAGTGTGTGGGAGAGGAGAACACGTCATGTAGACTTGTGCTTAGTGAGTTGACCTCGCCCACCCTCTGAAGGAACTGCAACCTCAGTCGTGTATAATGTCAACAACTGAGACATGGTTGAATATCTTAGTGAATAATTTGGGATTATACATGAAGGTATTATACATTTGGGTGAATTTTATACAATGTAAAGGTGCTATTACAGACTACCCGCCGTCAATCACACACACACACACACACACACACACACACACCTATATGATTATTCACACTTAATTTACAGGAACAACTAAGGCAGAACCAATGATCTTAAGCATTAGTTTATGCCAACGGATGACTAAGAGAACTTGTTCAATATGTCAAGAACACAACAGTAGTATTAGTGGTAGTTACCTTGTGCTGGTGGTCGCAGAAGCCCCGGCGCCGTGCAGGGTCACTTTTCTGGTACCGTCTTGACACTATTATGACACCTAATGGTACTTGACGACACTTTGCTCTACGCCATAACACACTTTAGACCTTGTGATTGTTCAAGACACTCTGCAACACTTTACGGCATTAATAAAACTTTACGACACTTTGCGAGACTTTAAAGCATTAATGGCACTTTATTGACACTTTACGATAGTAATGGCACTTTACATCACTTTGAGAGACTTCACAGAACCTTACGACACTTTTCGACATCGTATGACACTATTGTATGTTGCTTGGACACTTTATAACTATTCCAGACTTTGAGACTTTATGACACTATGAAGCCATGTGAGTTTTTACGACACTTCAGAACATTGCAACTATAGGACACTTCATGACACTTTAGACCACTGATACTTTAGGACTCTCTGATACTTTAAGGACACCTCATGACACTTTACGACACTTCAAGACAATTTAGGACACTAACATCTTAGGACACTTCATGACACTTAAGGACACTTTAACACCTTAGAACACTTCATGACACCTTTGGACACTTCAGGATACCTTTGGACACTTCATGGCATCTTAAGACACTTCATGACACACCTCTGACACCACATAGCAATTTTTCATTGTGCACCACATATTACGATTTTCTGCGACACTTATGAGACTTAATGGCATTTTATCAGACCTAATGACACTTAAAAGCACTTTATAAAACTTTTGGATATTACATGAATCATTGTGAGATAACGTGACACTTTTTGGCACTCTAACACCTAATACCACTTTACGACAATTTATACCACTCTTATGAAACCTCCGGGTGTTTTTTGTGCCCACAATTACTTTGATATTGATATTGATATTCAAATAGTTTATGACACTTACAATTCTTCATGACAAAAACACTTAACATCACTTTATAAAACTTCATGACACAAACACTTTCCAACATTTATAAACACTTTTTGTAACTTACGGACACGTTTTGATACATGATATCACTTCACATTACTTATGAAACTTTTACGGCACTTAAATCACTTTTTGAAACTTAAGACAAATTTGAGACACTTACAGTACAATATAATTACTTTACGACACTTATAAACACTTTGTAACACTTGCAAACACTTCATGACGCTGACAAACACTTGATACTTTTCAGTCCTCGTTAATTTCAGTCTCTTCACTAGATATTTGTTTGTCTATAAGACTTCATGTGCTTCTTACCAGCACTAAGGCAGTGACAGCACTGCGTATGACTTGTCTTGTTAGAGGATTGTCGTGACATTCTTATAAATCCGAAACCGCGAAGAATGTCAGATTCGAGACATGGGCGAACGGCCAAACCTCGTACCAGCACTATAACCGACTGAGTTTGGTCATGTTTTACTCATTCGTTTTTCCACATATGTACAGAAGCTTTAAAGATCTCTGTCTTTACCTGTCCTAATTATAAGGTATATGGCAGTATATTACACAAGATTATATGCCAATATTTTAGTTAGTATAATGATTCGTTTCTGTGTGATTGAGTCTGATGCACCGAAATCCTGTTCCTGAACCCTCGAAACACTTACGTCATCGATGTCTCAAAGTGGTGTCATTCAACTGGTGATAAAACGTATTCGGAATTTTGTATATTGTTTATCTCTCTTTATTTGCTTATTTAAAAAACTAACAGACAAACGGGAAGCACGCGAAAATAAGATATATCTGTATTAAACATAACAAATAACGATATAACACATTTTAAATTATTTTCTTAATCCAAAAGTCAACGCTTTCGAAGACGTGTGTGTTGCCTCAGGACGAACAACCCAGACCACGACTAAACCAAAGCTACCAACAGTCTCCACACATCTGTCTGGTATATTGTGTGGTTTAATATTTTAGACAGACTACAGACAAACCAAAGAAAGTAAACCGCTTTAAACTTAATTCATGAAAGGTGTTCAAAGACAGCATGTTAGGCGTTTCTTAGTTTACCTGTGTAATTAATCACACTATTAACTACTGGATGACAGTTTGTAGCAGTAATTTACCTTGTGATTGTTAGTAGTAGCAAATGTTATGGGGCCGGGAAAGGGAAAATTTCTCTCGCGGAGAGAGGGGAGGAAAAAAATAATTAAAGATGTTAATACATCTTACAGCACTAAGCTGTTCCTGAATCTCTGTGGCATCCCCGACGCCGTGGAGAGTCATCCACTCCCACACATTCAACGTGATAAGGTCTACAGTACATTATTTTACGGAGATACGATCGGTGTCGAATTATGAGTTGTTATTTATTACAAGATATGTGAGATTTCATGACAAAATTTGATATACATTATAGTACAGGTAATGCTAACCATGTTACAGGATACAAACATAACCTTATGGGTATACAACTATCGACCTGTGGTGCGAGCGGACCCGGGTCCGATCCCCGGGGCAGGGTGAAACTATGGGCAAGTTTCTTGACGCCATCTGTCTACCCAGCAGTAATTGGGTACCTGGATGCTAATCGATTTGCGAATCGTATTCCGGGGTAATGGTTAGCCAGTGCAGTTGGCGAGCTGTCCGGTCTTCTCGGACTATCCCTTGACACTGGGTCAATGGGTCATGCAGCTCGTTAACTTAGGGTGTGGTTGTTGTGTTGGCGAGAGCTTCTACACCTTAAACAAATTAACGCCTAGGTGACCCTAGGGCCGGCCATCCTCGTTACACGAGGGGCAAACATTATTATATATCGGCGCCACACATGGATACGGCCTGGTCATTGGACGAAAATGTTTTTACATCACTTTCCTGGAGGTGTTTTAGTTTATGTTAGCTTAGGTATTACAGGTAACTTAATACTAACCAACAGTGCTTCTACAATATTATTCAAGCTGTTGAGGATTGTACTTCATACATCTGGCCATTCAGCCTGAAAACAGGATCTGTAGACATTGTGTTCCAAAAATCAACCAGAAAACTAAGCACTTCCTTGTTATTAGATTCTGGACTAAACTGACCTACTGTCGAAGTTAAAAGAAATCACTGAGATGGGTCAAAACGTGAGTATCATTGTATGTCGCCACCTTAAATACGTCGTGAAATGCAAATAAACCTCAGACCTTCATAATTTCAATATTTACAATTGGAAAGACTTAACAAATATATTGCTTTCGTCTGTAATATAAATTGACTCTTCACTCACTCACTCACTGACTTCTGCGTATGTAAAATTTGTTTTATTTTTTATTTAAACTTTACAAGTTGCATATATACATACTGTAGATATTTCATATAATTGTAGTGAAATATTTGGATGACTTTTCTTTTAAAATACACTTGATCATCCATTTATTATAATATATCCTGCCTTTAATAAAGGCTATAGTCTCCTTAACATTTAATTTTTTCTTCCTACTTAACCACATACAGTAAATATAATCTGACATTAGCATGATCATTGTATTCTTATCCTTATTATTATCACTACAGTTAATATTAAACATTAAGAAATGCAGAAATAATTTGCTATTGACATTGCAGACTGTATTCAGGAGATTTTTAAACCATTTAATTATCTCTTTGTTATGGAAACAGAAGTAAAATACATGTAATTGGATATTCTACCTCACCACATCTTACACAACTATCATCTTTTTAGTCTCTGATTTGTTGGTAGAGTTTCATGAATATACCTATATATGAAGCCTCTCTGGTGAGGATCCATATATTTACAAGTAATATTTTCCCAAATAAAAGGCCATTTAAACAGCGGATACTTTTCTTCAACTGCTGGTTTAGTCCATGTCGTTAATATATGTATACATCTTTATTCTTGACATTTGGAAAGTTATGATGCCTTGCTAACCTTCTTAGGGTATTGATTGTTTACTATAATAAGGTGGAGACAAGTAGGAAACATTATCCGATAGGTTTCATTTCTAATAGATAACTGGTCCTTATACTTGTATAATATGGAGTTAAAGATTTCCTCTTTTCATGGTCTGAAGCAATTTTTATGAAAGTTGTACATATATAGCAGCTGCTTTATAAAACACATTAACTACTCCAATACCACCTTGTTTGACAGGTAAATACAGAGTTTGTCTTTTAAATCATGGTACAATGAAACCATATTCTCTAGCCCACCTGGGTACAGTGTCCTTTCTGGACGGGGGCCCACTCTAACTATCACGAGGCAACACACGCACGAACACACGCAGTCATAGTACGGCTGTATAGATGACATTATGTATAAATATTGTATATGGCATTTTATACTCTGCATTATCTTCATTATATATGAACACGAAGAAAAATTACTATAGGTTGTAGTTACGAAAGTATGAATGGAAATAAACACTTCCAAACCACCCAGTGAGTCCACACAACGTTTACAGCGCTTGTGTGTGTGTGCCAGACCACGATGCTTCCACCACACCCCATCATTCGCGTAACTATATGAAAAACCGTGGTTAATTTAACTACATATTTCAAAAACCTTAAATTACATGTGGATCAGTCACTCCTCATTTGACACACTTATAGTGTAATACTTTGACCATCCCACCTGGGCACATGGAGGCCCACGGTAACTCTCACGGGGCAACATACACACGAACACACAAGTTATGATATGAACCCTTCCAGGCTTCACTATCATTATCATGTTATGTTCATCGTGCTCTGTATCTTGGTAACTAGTCATAGTATCAATACATGACAGTGTTATTAGTATAATAGTGTAACTTTTTACCTACAGTTATTGTTGTAAATCATGGACAGGAAGGATACATAAATTGTAATATCAAGTGTATGGTTCGCTCAAAGCCACCCCAAGTCAGACAACGCGTCACACAAAGTTGCACTGTGTGTGTGTGTGTGTGTGTGTGTGTGTGTTCTGTAACATTAAGCTTCATCCTTAGTAGGTAAGATGTTTCATAAAGAGGTTTCTCCCATTCGTCATTGTGAGCATCGTCCCAGAGCACATTGTTTCCATCAAAACCATGGTTCATCCTTATTTCCCTTCTTCCGTGTAACTATATCCATATGGCTAAGTGCTTGCTTTTCATTTCTTTATTTACCAAAATAATGTGGATCAGTTACTCGTTATTTAACACATACATGCACTTAGAGCATCAAGATTGTTTTGTAGGCATGACTATTGGTTAATTGAAACCCCAAAAATGTGGTTTTACGTCACTTCACATAAATATGCTTACAAAATCTATGCATCAATATGCATAACTCTTGGGAATCTGTCCAGACATTAAATATATGATATATACTACAATAATCACATAGATATGTTTACAATGTTTATGCATAATAAATGTGAAAAATATTACTAAGCACATTAACTAATTCAATGGATATTAGCTGCCCCTACTACAAATTTCACAGTATAAACATTCTAACTATGGGATTAAGTACTTTAAACAAAAAGTCACATTATCTCTACGGGATTTCTGTCGCAAAACATTTTTCGATCGCATAGAAAATACAGGTCATAGTTTAAGTTAGGTTAGGTTATGTTGAGTTATATTATAAGTTATAAGGTTAGCTTAACATACACCAGTAAGGGGGGGGGGTAATAACTCAAAACTAATGATTTCCCATAGAAATGAAGGTCTAAATCGTTCGTAACACATCGCAAACCACCAGAAAAAACTATAGTCCAGGTACAGGGATGATCAAAACTTAAAATATACCCAATATACCCTATCTTGAATCTAAACATCCAGGGACCGTTTCACAAAAATTTCTCTCAAATTCCTTTACAACTAAAAACCTGGAATGTCAATGTGGCATTTAAAAACTCATGCACTGTTAAACAAATGTTAATCAAGAACTCCCCCAACAATACAGGTGGTTGCATTTATAAGGTTCCTTGCAAGGAATGTACTATGTGAATTACACGATGTGAATTACACGAAAGCGCTTGGGAACTTCGTGCTTTCTTCTTTCCTTGTGGTTATCAGCATATATATATATATATATATATATATATATATATATATATATATATATATATATATATATATATTGTTACGAGTTGGGGATTTAGAATATAGTTAAAAGTCTACCCCGATCCCAACAGGCAACAACAATAAAAAAACAAAGACAATCGGACTATAAAAGGGTAGACAAAGGATGCGAGTTTTTGTTGTGTATAATAAAGTACCATAAATTCCTTAACAAAATATTCAGCTTTCTATAATTTACCCTTAACCATACTTAACCTAAACATTAACAGTATATACATATTTATACAACATACAAAATTTGAAGCAAGGTGGAGGTGGGGAGGCAATACAAGATTACAAATACTTAAGTGCGGAGCTGATATGGCTGACGAGTAAGGCTGAGTATTGTAGAAGACGGTAGGTAGTCACTGTGCCGTAGGTTTCCAGATAGGTGATCCTGTGGTCACTTCCCAGAGTGAACTGAACTCTCATCGAACTGGAGCTGATGAAGAAGACTTGTAGGAGGTGACGCAACAACCAGGATATGGAGAAGGGAAACCCCGGAGTGGTAACTAAGACTAGTCATACTCGTGTTTCGTCCCTAGATGGCGTTGCTCGTGGTGCTGGGTAGGTAGATCAGGACAATAGATGGCGTGGTTCGTAGTGCTGGGTAGGTAGATCATGACAATTGATGGCGTGGTTCGTAACAATATACATATATATATATATATATATATATATATATATATATATATATATATATATATATATATATATATATATATATATATATATATATATATATATATATATATATATATATATATATATATATATATATATATATATATATCATGTAGATCCACAATGAAAACGTGGATAAGATAAATCTTGATAAAATCACACAGGAAAAGGGAAACAACGGAGCACCTAGTTGCCTCTGAAGATGTCCTGAATAAAGACGAAAGCTAAGGTGCTCCGTTGTTTCCCTTTTCCCGTGTGATTTATCAATATATATATATATATATATATATATATATATATATATATATATATATATATATATATATATCATCATTCTTTATCATGACACCCCTACTCCATACATAACCTTTTTAGTTTTAACTAAAACCTTAACCTTAGGCCAGAGTTACGTAACTTTCTGGTTTAGAGATAAAACTGATATACTGTATCTGACCACGACTCCTAGCCAAGTCGCCCCCTGACGTCGTTTGGACCCCACCTCAGTTGCCCGCTGTCACCTCACCTTTATTGTACACGACGGTGGCCCCCAAATACTCGTAGAGTAACGTTGCATCTTTCTACTACGGACCGAGTTAAGTCTAATGCTTGAAGCCTTGTTGAACAAAGTTTAGTTGTGTGGCTTCACCATATGCTCAATACTTAAACATGTAAACAGCGGATGGCAACTAATACTTGAAAATATGCTTGAGTTGCAGGACCTGTTGCCATAGAATCGTCATCATTATTGAATAACAAGTGTTTCACTGTGTGTAATGTTCTAAGAAACTGCAAAGAAGTTCTGTGAATATTTAAGTTCGACCAATAACCAAAAGACATTCCAGAATCTAAATAATAATCACTTGTGTCTTACTACTAATTTAGTTCCCGAAAACCTCATGTTTAATGTGGTAAGAGTCATTTCAGTGTCCAGAAACTTAGTGACTCTGGCAAAACCTTCTTGGCAAAGAAAACTAAATTTTAAGTTCCTCGACGTAGGGAAGATCTTTGGTGCAACTACTGCACAATGGCGGGTTTCAGCGGATGGGACTGGGCTGTGTTTGCAGTGTCCTTGGCCATTTCCCTGGGCACGGGCATATGGGCGGGCCTGGTAGCACGCAAGAACACCGCGAAGGGCGACTCCATGGCCAGGGCGTCCGAATTCCTTATGGGTGGACGAAACATGAACCCCATCGCTATTGCTCTGTCAACCACGATAGGTGCCCTCTCCAGCATCACGGTGCTCGGTGAGTTATCCTCTCTGTTTCCCACCTCGGCTTAGAAGTAAACAGTGTGTACAGTAGAAGGGGGTGGGGGAGGGTTAGAAGGGACAGGGGAATGTAATGGCTGGTGAACAGACACCCCATTACAACATCATGAACGTAGTTGTAATATTATGTAGATATTTGTGACATCCTATACAGGTAGTTGTTACATCTTGTAGGTGGTTGTGAGATCGTACACAGGTAGTCAGTAAAGTTGAGAGGAAGTCGTAACACCGAGCAGATTGTGTCGACACGGAGACATGAAAGTTGTGACACATCCTTACATATAAATATAAAAGAGTTTTTCTCTAAAAATGACAAAAAACTTTCCTCAACAATCAGCAATAAATATAAATAAGATGCTTGAAGGATGAAGTTGCTATACTGAGCGCCTCTGGATATGTGGTGTAAGAGAGGGAGACAATAGCTTTGTACGCCTCTTCTGCACTCCTTCCCGGAGCCCACGACATGTAACATTTAAAGAAGACCAGGCAGAGGAAGTCATAGATGAGGTTAAGAAGTATAAGTAAACAATCAGAAAATCATTCACTGGAACTGACATGTACGCAAGTCTGTCTGTCTGTCTGTCTGTGTGTTTGTCTCTGTGCACGTGCATTACTTGTGTGAACATGGATGTAAACAGAATCCTCCGGCAGGTAACGCGGCAGAGATGTACGCTTACGGCACACAACTGTGGATGAACCTGATAGGTATGTCTCTGGGCTTCGTCTACGTCCACTTGGTGAACCTGACGGTGCTGTACCCCCTGAAGATCACCAGCGTTTACACGGTGAGTCACACACACACACACACACACACACACACACACACACAGGCAGACAAGCAAACGGACAGACGGACAGATAAGTAGACAGGTTGACACTAGGATAATAACATAAGGTGGCAGACACTGACAGACAGGCAGTTCAGCAGAACGATAATTAGACAAAACTGGGTTGAACAGAGCGATTGACGGCTACATGAATAGATAGACAGATATTATGAGACATAGATATAAGGATATATAGTCAATGTGACATAATACTATATAATCAGAGAGATGGACAAAAGAAAAGACTTTCAGACAAATGACCTTCTAGATTCTTGACAGACATGTTGACTGTCTGCTACCTGCTGTCAGTTGGCTTCACATGATAATATTTTTTTTTCCTGAGATTAGCCCACCCAGGCACAGGTCACTGACCCACATCGGGGCCTGGGGAGCAAAACAGTTTTGAACCAAATTTAAATACAGAAATGGAAAAAAAATTAACATATATATATATATATATATATATATATATATATATATATATATATATATATATATATATATATATATATATATATATATATATATATATATATATATATATATATATATATAAAACGTAAGTTAATCAAAGTTAATCAGATTTACTAATTAGTATGGCAGACCTTATATGTTTCATTATTGTATGTAAACATTCAGCATATTAATTTATATCACGAGGATAACTCAGATGACACACGCGTCATAATTCATCGTGAAGCACAGGCTTCAAAGACATTTCCCCAACACCTACACTTGGTGATGAAATCCGACCACATAATTACTTTATTGTGAAGCTTTAACTGTGTAAGAGTACAGTGAATACTGGGCACACATCTGTATTCCACAACATTTGTGAAGTTTTGGATAATAGATCTTGGTAAAGGAGTTCAAACGGTACTTGGAAACTCCAAGGAGATGAGTTGTCTTTTGAGGTGCAACAAGAGCTCTTGAAGCTTGTCAACGGCACACTTTGGCCGTCGATTAGTGCACTGTATTGTAAGGTCCGTCATCTCTCACGTCCTTCTCCTCTACACACCTTTGCTAGTCGAGTTTATGTGCCCATTGACGATCAAGGCGAAACACTGCTCAGGGTTAGAGGGTGAACCTTATCTTCGATATGCCTCACTGGTTACTGAGCCAACTACACCAGCTATGATGCTAACAAATAGTGTTAAATCACCAATTAATGAATATCGATACTTTTTTCAGAGTTCTTGAGGCCAGGCTGATTCAGGCCATTATTCATGACACACTAATTATTTATTTTGTGTCTAACTGCCAACAATGTCATTGATTTGTTATGTATTTTTATGCAACATTTAATTAAAAGCAGAATCGTTTGTCTTCACACCACAAGTTTCTATGTACAACACTGATAGCTTTGTAAGTTATTATTTCTTGTGCAAGGAAAGTTAGGAACTTCTGTTTTAGTGGGACCATATTGTTGTATGTTGGCCAGGGTCCCTAATGTGATCACCACGTATTTATTGTGATATAATACCCTCCTCTATCTGTCTATCTATCTATCTATTACGATCCACACCAAGTTCAAACTAACACCATCCTCACTATCCACAGTACATCGAGCGGCGGTTCAAGTCCAAAAACCTTCGGGCCTTCACGGTGTATACCACGTTCATCGGGACTTTCTTCTTCATGGGACTGTGTGCGTATACCCCGTCCTTGGCCATGGAGACGATCACCGGGATCCCCTCGTGGGCCTCCGTCATCGTCCTCGGGGTCACCTGCACCATATACTCCTCTTGGGTGAGATAGAAGAGACAGATAGAGAGATTATGAGAGATTAAGCAAAGGGAAAGATTCAGAAAGAATGAGAGACAAAGAGAGACATTACCAAAGATTAAGAAAAAAGAGAGATGTAGAGAGAATGAGATATATGACAAGAACGAGAATATTAGATTGAACGAAGGGTGGAAAGAAGTATAGATTTATAAACAGAAAGGGAGACCATAACAGAGTGAACGCTAGACAAAGAAAGAGATATATAGAGACAAATGAGAAAAAGAAAGATAAAGAATCACAGTAAATGAGAGATAATGAAAGACAAATAATGACAAAAGGAGAGATGAAGAAAGAGAGAGAAAGGCAGAATGAATAAAATATAAAGAATGTTAAAAAATGAGAATTTGAGATAAAGAATGAAGCAGAATAAAAAGAAGGAGAGAGAGAGGAAAAAGATAAAGAAATAAAAACAGACAGAGAGGTCGAGAGATAAATAAAATAGAAGAGAAAAATAAAAAAGAAAGAAGACTTAGCAGAGATTAACTAAGAGAGAGAGAAAAAATAAGGAAATATCGATCACCTTTCCCCACATCTGCTTCTTGCACGCAACCTGTATAAGAGGAGAAAGAGAGAGAACGGAATGAGTGTGAAACAGTAAAGGAGAAACGTCGAACCACTGAAGGATAGCGGAGAAAATAAAGGCGTGGGAGTGGGAGACAATGTGAGAAATGGGAGATAGAAAGAGAAAAGGGGTGATGGAGGTAGAGTGAAGCGAGAGAGAGAGAAGAGAGAGAGAGAGAGAGAGAAGGAAGCGCTCCCGTGCATCTACCATCACACCTAATTATTCTTAAACCATATTCTTCATCTATTTCCACTAATCTGTTAGCTAGTTTTTATAACGCCTTTACGCTACCTGTGATAATTAAGAGCAGTAGCATCTGCATAGCGTATAATTTATTTGATATTACTATTAACTCTTAAGCTTTCATAATAGTAATATGATGGTATGAGACGTAACTTAAACTTGTAGGCTTTTGTATCTATTTATTTCAAGGTATTATATTAAATCGGTACATAGACTTCTCTCAAATAGTGATTACTGTATTTTGAAAAGTGTTTTTTTAATATTAGAAAAATAGAAGTGTGTCAGAAGTAAAAATATTCAGAGCTGCGATAGAAGGAGGAACTCGTCTGTTTGCCTCGTGTATCTGTACAGGGTTGTAGTTGTTTAGCTAATAACTTTTTCCGACTTACTACGTTAATTTTTTGACCATACCATCTATAGTGTTGGCAGCATAGCATCCACGGTATAACTGAAAGACGTGTAAAGGTTAATGTGGGAAGATCACTACCGAGTTATTTGCAAATTAAGGGTTTTTAAGTGCACTAATGTATCGTTTGGGGAGGTTAAGGTCTTGAAAAGGTTTGGAATATGTTTATATATACTCTTCTGTAGAGTAAGGCTTTTGAGAATGTTAATTACCCTTTCTATCATATACCCTTAAAAGGGTTTGCCAATAGGGACACTAAAAAAAACTTTGTCATACCTTTTATCTCTTACTATGTACTGTCCCAAGGTGTCACCCCAGCATACTACCCCAGCATGTTACCCCAGCCTACTACCCCAGCCTGTTACCCCAGCCTACTACCCCTGCCTGTTACCTCAGCCTACTACACAAGCCTATTTCCTCAGCCTGCTACCCCAGCCTGTTACCCCAGCCTGCTACCCCAGCCTCTTACCTCAGCCTGTGACCCCTGCCTGTTACCCCAGCCTGCTACCCCATCCTGCTACCCTTCTACCCCAGCCTGTTACCCTGTTACCCCACCTACTACCCCAGCCTGTTACCCCAGCCCCACCCTGTGACCCCTGTCTGTTACCCCAGCCTGCTACCCCATCCTGCTACCCCAGCCTTCTACCCCAACCTGTTACCCCAGCCTGTTACCCCAGCCTGTTACCTCAGCCTACTACACAAGCCTATTTCCTCAGCCTGCTACCCCAACCTGTTACCCCAGCCTGCTACCCCATCCTGCTACCCCAGCCTTCTACCCCTGTTACCCCAGCCTGTTACCCCAGCCTGTTATCCCAGCCTACTACACAAACCCTATTTCCTCAGCCTGCTACCCCAGCCTGTGACCCCTGCCTGTTACCCCAGCCTGCTACCCCAGCCTCTTACCTGAGCCTGTGTTACCCCAGCCTGCCATCCAGCCCCACCCCATCCTGCTACCCCAGCCTGCTACCCCAGCCTGTTACCCCAGCCTGCTACCCCATCCTGCTACCCCAGCCTTCTACCCCAGCCTGTTACCCCAGCCTGCTCATCAGAGGCCTCCCCCAGGGCGGCGTGAGGGCGGTGGTGTATACGGACATCTTCCAGTCCTTCGTCATGATGGGCGGTTTGCTGTTCATCGCTGTCACCGCTACCATAGAGACGGGCGGCCTCGAGAAAGTGTGGAGCATCGCTGACGCCCACGGCAGGGTGGAGTGGTGGAAGTAAGTGGAGTGGTGGAAGTAATTGGAGTGGTGGAAGTAAGTGTGGTGGTGGTGGAGTGGTGGAATGAAGTGTGGTGGTGGAATGGTGGAAATAAGTGAGGTGGTGGAGTAGTGGAAGTAAATAGGGTAGTGCAGTGATGGAAGTCAGTGGAGTTGTGGAAGTAAGCATGGTGCAGGACTGGTGGAACTAAGTAGGGGAGTGAAAGTGAGTAAGGTGGTAGAACTAAGTGTGGTGTTGGTGGGTTAAGTGATGAGAATAAATAAGTGGATGTAATGGAATAAAGAAGAATGGGTGAAGAGCTGGAGACAGAGATGTGTGTGGAGAGGTTTGGGGTGGAGTAGTATAAATAACTGGGACGGGTTTAGTGTGGAGATGTGGAGAAGGTGGGCTGAATAATAAAATAATGGTTTCCCCTCGTGTTCAAGGATGGCTGGCCATAGGGCCACCTAGGCGTGAATTAGTTTAAGGTGTAGAAGCTGTCGACAACACAACAATCACACCCTGAGTTAACGAGCTGCATGACCAGTACCAAGGAATAGTCCGAGTATACCGGACAACTCGCTAACTGTACTGGCTAACCATTACCCCGGAACACGATCCGCAAATCGATTAACATCCAGGTTCCCAATTACTGCTGGGTAGACAGGGGCAACTGATGTAAAGAAACTTGCCCATTGTTTCTCCCTGCCCGGGGATCGAACCCTGGTCCAGTCGCTAGCGAGGCGAGCATGCTGACTATTACTCCACAGGAAGTCACAAAAAAAGCACTAAGCCTCCAGGGAGGATCAACTCCCGGCCCCTGGTTTATTAGACCAGCGCTCCTGCCACTGAGCTATGGAGACCATTGATGTGCTGAATACTGTTGGGTTAAATAGTGTTATGTGATGATATGTATTATTCATCATGCAGAATAAACTGATGTTTTAGCACAGTAGACAATATTTGTATATACCCTATATACAAATTAACTCTACTCAATGGACGAGTTGTCGGTTTTGAGTAAACATAAGAAATACACTCTGCCACGTTCGTGGAGTAATACGGTATATATAATTTTTAATAAAAGTTTAAAGTCCTGCTGTAATAGTCGAGATAAGTTTATTTCTCTAGAAACAGGGCCGCTATTTGCAATGACGTCACCAGTTTCCCAGCAGACGACATTCCCCAACAAACTCACAGCTGTAGTCGGAGGTAGTACTAGGGATGGCCTCTTCAGACCCCAAATGCCACGTTCAGGTAAGTCTTAAGGGTTTTTTTTCATGGGCTAAGTCATGGACATTTCGTAAGTGAATAAATGTGCCGTGAAGAGCAGCTTATGGACATAAAAATTTCTCATCTTCACACCATCTCAGCTGTCACGAAGTAGACTTTTTTTTCAGTGCATTTACAGAGTACAACAGATGAAGATACGAGTCAATTTAGAAGTAATGACATTATCTGGACTTTGTTTTGATAATGCATTGGGATATATCGTCATTTATATTAATTAATGGGTAAAATTTTATTTTAACTACCACCGCTACACCTCCTGTCCCAACGCCGAGAAAAAGTGCGCTGCCTGCGGTGGCCCACACTCCTCTGCCGACCGGACCTGCCCCAAATGGAAGGGGGAATGCAGGATAGCCAAGGTTCGACTCCACAAGAAACTGAGTAACAAGGAGGCCCTCCTTGCAGTACACGCCCAAGACAAGAAAAAACAAGAAACCAAGAAACAAGAAGAAAAGAAAAATCAAGAAAAGAAGACCCAAGAAAAGACACACGTAACCAAGAGACAAGAAGACCGCGAGACCCCAGGAGCTGTACACCTCATCACGGTCACCTCCTCCGACTTCCTCCACATCTACGAGCAACCAGGACACGAAGAAGAACAGGACCTAGACACTAGCAAATGGACGGTCCAAGAGCGCAAAAAGAGGAGGAAAAGAAGATTGTCAACTTCAAGCTAACAAGGCCCCCACAACAAGCAAAAAACACCAAGAAAACACTACACCCAATCAAGCCGACTAAGAACAGAGAAACCATTGCCCAACCTGACACGCACCTGACGTTCACTTGACTCATGGTTCTGTCCCCTCCCCGCCGCGTCCAGGCAAGTTGCTGCTGCCTCAAACCTGCAATCCCACCCCACGCAAGCTGTGTTAAGCCACGGCATCTGTCCCCTCCCACTAAAATTCCCTTCCATTCTCTCTCTAAACTTCCACTGAACCTCCTTCTCCCCTGTCTCTAGGTGTTGGTTTGCGATGGGTTACGAACGATTTAGACCTTCATTTCTATGGGAAATCATTAGTTTTGAGTTATTACCTCCCCCCCCCCTTACTGGTGTATGTTAAGCTAACCTTATAACTTATAATATAACTCAACATAACCTAACCTAACCTAACCTATGGGCTATGACCTGTATTTTCTATGCGATCGAAAAGTGTTTTGCGACAGAAATCCCGTAGAGATAATGTGACTTTTTGTTTAAAGTACTTAATCCCATAGTTAGAATGTTTATACTGTGAAATTTGTAGTTGGGGCAGCTAATATCCATTGAATTAGTTAATGTGCTTAGTAATATTTATATATTCAATATAGCATTAATGTGTTGCACAGTAAAGCACAATTAATTATCTAATAATGTTTATTTACAGTGCCGATCAGCCGAGGTCAGACAACTACTTCCAGGGTTCATCAAGGCAGATGAAAGAAATTTACCAAAAGTAGATGTGTTTGTGATTGTAGAGTATTATCATGATAGAACTCCGCCATCCAGCTATGAAGCACGTTAAATTACATCTGTCATCTGATAACCTCAAGCCCATCCCCGGGCCATGGTCGTCCCTAGTCCTTCCACAACATTAAATATAGACATCAGTGACGAAAACTTGCATTTTCCAGACATGAAATAGAGAACAGTGATGAAAACTTCCATGTTGGAGTTATCGGTTTTTTAGATCATTTTGTCACCCAGCAAGTAAATACACACGATGATACTTGAGCAGTAATTTATTTTAACCTAAAAATAAGGTATGCCTGTGTATATCAACTTTGTATATGGCCACAAGTCTTGTATTTCTGCTGGTAATAACACATACACCACAGCTGGCTGCCTCCAGGCTCCTGCTTGGCGGCTCGAGCCAACCTGTGACGTCACAACCAACCAAAGAGCTTTTCGCAATCACGTAACTTTTTAGCAGCTTTAACCCTTAGTTTTAACGCTTTTTGGCCCAATTTATTTATAAATATCATTACCAAAGTGAATTTAAGCGCTTTCTTTACCCATTGACCTGCCACCTTACGAAAAATTCCGACCGACAATTCGTCCTTTTCCACGCCTGTATCGTCACACTGGAGATCTATATCAACTTCCTAACTCCGAGTCTTTATTTACAGCATCAACCCAGACCCTCTACAGCGTGAGAGCTTCTGGCTGGTGACCGTCCAGGGATACTTCTTGTCTCTCTTGGTCCTCGGGATGGGTCAGCCACAGGTCCAACGTGTCTGTTCCGTCTCTTCCTGGAAGAGAGCGATCAGGTGAGTATGAGAGAAGAAATAGGACCATTGATATCAGGTAGGAGGAAAAGTAATGGTGAAATCTTCCTGGGGGATCTTTTGTGCCTGTGTAGATTATCATTTTGTCACTTACAGAGGCTAGTTTATCGTGCATCCATACTTATCCTGTGAGCGGTAGCGCAAAAGAATTATGGAGTAGAGTTTACAAAGGGTGTGTATAACTAATCCCCGTGGTCAGGATATTATGGCATTGAATGTTACAGAGTATTTCAAATAAATTCTTCGTTTAGAGCTGTACATAGAGGGTAACTTACTTGCAACTGCTTGAGTATAGGAGTGAGAGGCAGTATGTCTGGCCGCACACATTGTTATTCACATTTGCGTGAGAGATGTTCAAGCACATTGTGTGTTTGGTTCCAGACATGAAAACTGATATAGCTACTAAGTGCAAAAAAGTGGATACAATCTTATATCAGCTACCTTGCCATTAGAGATAGTGTTGCGCCATTTCACAGTGTGCTTGGACCTGTCCCTAAAAGGTTCTATCTTCACACCGTCGAAGACTGTATCCTTGGCTGTCCCACTTCTTTTCTTATTTGTTGAGAAATTATCCTCATCATCTGTGTGTACGTAAACATGTTCTAAGGCTTATCCTGTGGACCTTTGTTATTAAGAGCCTTATACATCAACAAATTTCATGATCTGATCTTATATAGTCAAGATATATATTTTATTAAAGTCGGCCAAATAGGACTTGGGAGGCCATTTAGTTTTTCGTTTAAAAATCTAAAATAAGAAAAGGTTAAATCAAGTGTCATCCACCTGAAATAAACTCAGTAAAGGTCATATTGACTGCCTGGCATGGATGACAGTTGCTAACATTCCGTAACTCTAGAGTAATTTCTAGAGGCCTTTTCAGATTTTGTCACCAGTCTACCAGGGTGAGGACAGATCTAAGGGACAGTTGGGGGAGGAGAAAACAGCAGATTATTACAGTAACGATCGCCAAGTGTTTTGGGTTGTTCGTGAAGGAGTTTTAATTTAAATTACTGACCTAAAATTCGTACAGCATTATTTTCTCTCCCTCCCAGCACCCACTACTTAAACATGGTGCTCTTCATAGCAGTGTACAGCTGCTGTTACTTCATGGGCATCGCTGTCTTTTCCGTCTACGCTGACTGTGACCCAATGGCAACAGGAGACATCTCCACGCCCGACCAGATCATCCCTTACTACACAATCGACAAGTTGTCTGTCTATTACGGTCTACCTGGGATCTTCATAGCCTCCTTGTACGCTGGAAGCCTAAGGTGAGAAGGGTGTGTGTGTGTGTGTGTGTTATATCATCCAGTTATAAGGGTAGGAAGCCGAGAGGGAGGCAGAGACTAGGATATAAGCAAAATTAAAAGCTGAAGATAAGAACATTGGAGGATTCTTAAAGACAGCACAAAAACATCTGGAGTGGAGGGCCAAAGTTATACCTGAAGTGATTGATTTATTCGTAATCATGTACACACGATCTGTATGTCTTTGGCCATTATCTTTGAATACTTACCTTATACGATGCTTCTAATCATACTACAGTGCTTATTTGGTTACAATTTACCCCAGATTATCCACCTGTCACATGACTGTAATTATCCACCCGCAACCATCACTTACCTGTAATTATCTACTTGTAACCGCCCTTTACCTGTCCTCTTTGCAGCTCGTATTCGGCACAGATTAACGCAGTGTCCGCCGTCTTGTGGGAGGACTTTTTCAAGAACTCCAACTGGGTGGCGAACATGGCCGAGGAACGGAGACCCAACGTAAATGTACTCGTCAGTAAGTAACAGAAGGTGGGGGAACTGAAGCCGCATCAGCTAATTAACTCGACAGGTGCTGGTAAGTTCTTGGAAATACCTATTATATTCAACAACCAGAGAAGAAGTATTGCTTTTTTTTTTAAGTCCCTCTCATTTAAAGGGTTGAATAAGCTTGTTAAATTCTGAAAGTAATTTTCAAGTCCTTATCAACTTTCATCACCAACCAGTTTCATCCCATTCCCTCATCTCCCGTAATTTGTCAAGCCTTCATCCCATCCTCTCATATCACCTGCCGCCCTTTCTCTCAACTCTTTTAACTTGGTAAGCCCTTTTCTCCTCCCCACACCTCTCTTCTCTTGCCAGGTCCCCTCTCCCCATTCCCCATTCTCTCAACTCTCCCTCCTTCGTCTAGTTACTGTACCCAACCTTTTTTGGCTGCGACCCTAAATTTCCCAACAATACGGTGTCGTGACCCTCAGGCATATAATATATTATATAGCTTGAATGTTAAGCAAAGATGTGTTTGACTATGATAAGTACTATATTTTTTAAATTGTCTGAAGGCCCTTCGCGACCCTACTGAGGACACCCCGCGACCCTGATTTGGGTCGCGACTTGAGGTTGGGAACCGCTGGTACTCTAGTAGGTTTCTTCCTTTCCATTCCACCACTCCTATAATCTATCACCCATGCCTTCCTCCTTCCCTCCTCCTTCTCTCACTCACCAAATCCCTGATGTCTGCCGGTGGTGTCCTCAGGTGTGATCACAGGGACGGTGGGCATCGTGGCAGGAATAATCGCGAGCCAGTTGGGTGGGATTTTCCAGATGGGGCAGACCATCCTGGGCACCATCCACGCCCCTCTCCTCGGCCTCTTCATCCTTGGGATGTGCTGCCCCTTCGCTAACAAGATCGTAAGTCTCTCTCTCTCTCTCACTCTCTCTCTCCCTCTCTCTAAATTATAGAAAAGAGGCACAGGTAGCTTACTGCCCCCTTAAGCACTCCAGACCTAATTTGTTTGTGTCAACTCACGGCGTCAGCCACGTCAGCCTGGGTGTCACCTCTCACACACAGGTTTAGGTGTATTGCGTACATCTTTTAATTCCTTTATCTTCACGTTTAAAAGCCTGTTGAACTGTTTATCGAAGAATATATCTCTGGAGATAAGATAAGGAAATGTACTCTCACAGATAATATACGTAATGTCTGCTCTACTCCGGCTGATAAGATTAAGTCATTACTCAAAGTTCCCAACCTGATAATGTTGTCAGTAAAAGCACTATACACTGAAATATCGTCATTCCATGCAGCGTTTATCATGGTATTGAGGATTGGTAGTTGATGAGAGGTGGTAACACTTGTGCTGTGGCAGTTAGGTACTCTCCTACAGCAACACAAAACCTGCACCACCACCTAATTTCCCTGCGGTACCGTCTACATCTACCACACTACCACCTACTTCTACCACAGCATCCACACCCACACTACCACTACCCTCTCCCCTTTCTTCCCCTCCTCCCTCAGGGTGGGACGGTGGGGTTCGTCACGTCCCTGACCTTCAACCTGTGGGTGACCTGCGGCACCATGGTGTACGGGAGGCCCCCAAAGACTCTTGATTTCTCTGATGCTGGCTGTAACGTCACTACCACCACTATGGACGCCCTCACCACCTATCCTGACTTCCACACCACAGACCTTCCATCCACCACCCCCGATCCGGGAAAGTACGTAGAGATGTGTACTTTTGGTTCTTTACTATTTTTACACATCGCCTTGTTTACCAAAGACCATTAAATTTCCACCTGACCAATAAATCAATCGAAGGAATGTTTTAATTGAACCCAAATGAAAGTCAATTTACCAAAAATGAAACCAAAACGTACCGAACCCATGGTCACAGAGGCCGAATGAGGCCTTAACCTGACCTCCGCTTTGACCTTCTCCTGGCCTCTCCTCCGCAGCGACTATGTGTTCCCGCTGTATTTGGTCTCCTACACACTCTACGCCCTCTTCGGGGTCTCCATCACCTTCTTCGTCGGCTCTATCGTCTCCCTCATCTTCAGTAAGTACCAGGGAGATGTTTCATTAAGGGAGACATGACTTTTGTACCAGGGAGATGTTTCATTAAGGGAGACATGACTTTTGTACCAGGGAGATGTTTCATTAAGGGAGACATGACTTTTGTACCAGGGAGATGTTTCATTAAGGGAGACATGACTTTTGTACCAGGGAGATGTTTCATTAAGGGAGACATGACTTTTGTACCAGGGAGATGTTTCATTACGGGAGACATGACTTTTGTACCAGGGAGATGTTTCATTAAGGGAGACATGACTTTTGTACCAGGGAGATGTTTCATTAAGGGAGACATGACTTTTGTACCAGGGAGATGTTTAATTAAGGGAGACATGACTTTTGTACCAGGGAGATGTTTCATTAAGGGAGACATGACTTTTGTTGTGTTTCTGCTTTCTCTGAGTTTTGTCTTTATATCATTTCCCAAAATAGTATAAATGAGCGTCATTACTTAAATTCTGCTTCGATTATCTTGAAGTCGGTATTGATGATGAGTTATTATGATTTATATAGACAAATGGCTGTATAGTGGCAAAGGAATCACACACCATATAAATCTTATTTTGTTTTGTCTTTTTTGTTCTGTTCATCTACTCTTATCCTTCTCCCTCTCCGTCTATTCACATAACTCTTCTTTTTTGTTTATTTCATTTCAACTTTCGCCTTCTCCCCTTTCTTTCTCTTTCTCCCAATATTTCGTCTCTCCTCTTCCTATCCTTCTTTTCTGTTTGTTTTTCTTCTTTCCTTCTGTCTTTTCCCATCTTCCTTCTTCTCTCCTTTCTCATTTTTTGCCTGTATGTTTCACCTTCCTCCTCGTCTCCCTTCTATTCTGTCTGTCTCCCCTACATCTTCTTTCTACTCCTCATCTTATTCCTCCTCCTCCTCCCCTCCTACTCTGAATTATTACTTTTCTTTCTCCCCCCCCCTCTTCCTTACTATTTTTCATCGCCTCTTTCCCTTCCTCCTCCTCCCCCTCCCCCTTTCACTCATCCTTCTCCCCTCCTCCTTTCACTCATCCTTCTCCTTCTCCTCACCCCTTTTTCATTCTTCTTCCTACTCCTCTTCACTTCTCCTTCTCCTCCTCCTCCTCCTCCTCTTCACTCACTGCATCTACTCCTGCAGAACCTTGGTCGACGGACGTGACAGGCAAGGACCTCGTACACAAGACCTTCTATAACCTGATGAGGAAGTGGGAGAAACGCTACACGCCAGAGGACCCTGCGGCTAGCTCCAAGAACCTGGTGCCTCTGGAAAAGTATTAGATTGATGGTCTGTAGATGGTGCTGTTAGACAGGTACTAGACGTTGACTAGCGGAGGACAGACTATCAAGAACACCTTCAGAGAGTTACTAGACAACATCCATTTGAGGTTACTGGTGCTTTTTCTCAGTACCTCAAGAAAATACAAGAGTGCAGGTACTTTAACGCAGTACCTCTAGAAAGAACTAGAGTACAAGGTACTTTCACTCGATGCCTCGAGAAAATACAAGAAATCAGGTACTGTCCATGCCTCTTAGAAAATACTAGAGAATTTGACTCAGTACCTCTCGATAAGTCTGCAGTAATTTGAGCTAGTTAGAACAATTCTACGTATTGACTCTAGAAAGTTAAAAGAATTCGTTAATGGTTTAATATGTCTCTGGATAACTCCCAGTAATAGAACTGCACTAGACAATAATAATGGAGAGGGAATAAATAGATAAACAGGGAGGTGTTAGTTCAAGGTGAATACAGGGTGGAGACAACAAAGCTGGGGAGGAACAAGAAAAAGATGATGACAGGGAAGAAGGAGCAGGAAGGGAAGAAGAGCAAGAAGTCAGAAGAAAAAGAAATAGATGAAGTAGCAAAAGAAGAAGAAAGGGAAGAAGCCGGGGAAGAAGGAGAAGTAGTGTTGGCAGTGGAAGAGGAAACAATATTATCAGTTTACATACAAACGCTCATTAACCTTCACTTGTATAATGCAAACAAATTCTCACAATATTTAAGTGACTTACATTAAAGTATAGTATAACGGTGAATACCTAAATTATTTGCAAATATCTCATGTTGCTTTGAACTTATAATGTAACCCTCTGTTATATTGAACAATTAGTGAACAGGGAACAGATGACGTTATTGGGATTATGTAATGTTATTGTATGCAGGAGATGTTTCTGTGAACAAATAATGTTATTGTGAAAAAGAGGTGTTATTTTGAACAAGTAAAGTTATTGTAAGTAGATAATGATAATGTTTACAACCTATGTTAATGTGTACAAGTGATGATAACAGATAAATCACTGTTATTGTGGCTAGTTATTGCTGTTACAGGTAGACTACCAGAGTATGACAGATTATCTTCACACACACTACCACTACTACTTTGCTGTGATACAGTGATATGACTTATTAAGGATGTCACCTAGATTGGTGAGTTCTGAGGTGATTAAAGAGGCCGATACGGGACCGGCAGGGTCGATCACAGATGTTGCACATGTGGGAGGCTACATCTAGTGCGGGAGGGGCGGCGGCAGCGTTTTTCCTGCGTTGGCGCTTGTCTGCCTCGTTATGCAGTTGGGTTAATTCGAAAGTATTGACATCTTCCTGTGTGGTGATCCTCCAATCGTTACGGTGTGGAGTAATCGTCTCCCAGGTTAGGGGATCGATTTGTCACTTTTTCAGGTTTGTCTTAAGAGTATACATACTGTATACCTTTAACAGTTGTCCGTTTACTATTCGTTAAGTGAATGTAAAGTAGCTGCTGTGGCATTCTACTGTTGTCAAAGCGGGTAAAATGGCCAGCCCAGCGTAGTTATTCATGGATAATGGTAGCCTCGATGCTTCTACAGATGGTGTCTGCAAAACCACTGGCATTTGTTCTCTTGTCTTCCACGTGAACTCGGAGGATGGAACGTAGAGTACGTTGGTGAAAGTTTTCAAGCGCCTTGAGGTGCTTCCTGTATGTGAGCCATGTCTCACTACCATACAGCAGGGTGGGGAGGACCACTGCTCGATATACGTGTAACTTCGTAGGTACTTTCAGCTCCCTACAGCTGAAGACATGGGCACGGAGACTACCAAAGGCTTGAGATGCACATCTGATCCGATGCTGAATTTCTTCATCGATGTCCGCGGTGGTGGACAGGTGAGAGCCGAGATACCGAAAGTGGGTAACATTAGAGAGGGTAGTACCATTAAGCTGGATGGATGGTGGAGGTGTGTCTAAACCAGGGACAGGCTGAAAGAGAATCTGAGTCTTACGTACATTCATAGGTAGAAGGAGGAAGACTTATTTATGAGGAGGGAAAAATGAATGGGAAGAGGTTAAAGGTATTTGTGTCTAAGCTGTGAACACTGAACACTGCCCCAGCTACAGGCACTGAATGAGGAAGTGGAGCGCCTGGTGTCAATTAGATCAGTATTATGATTACGCTTATACTGAGCCTGAACTTCTGTGCCTTCAAATAACACGACCTTCCTCCCTCCTGTATATAAAGTACACGGGAGGGGGGGGGGGGACAGCCTCACAAGTGAATATGGAAAACACTCTTTGTCCTCCGCCTCTCTTTCATCGTTATTTGTTTATTTTTAGATTTATGTGTATCACCTTATACCTTATGTTCATTTATGTAATTTTTGTATACATAAAGGAATATATTTCCCCTGTGTCTGCCTTCTGTTGATATTCAAGGGTAAGTCTTTATTACCTCGGGTAGAGTAATCATCACTTCACAGACTTTAGATTACAGTCAAGAGATAGTGAATAATCCCGGGCTACATCTGACACAACCCTTAAACATTTTCATTTTAAATATATTTTGTGCCGACGTTCATCTGTTTGTTTTCCTTATAATCATCCGCTCGGATCGTTTGGTTCTTTGTGAGCAGCGCGACACTAAACACACAGGTTTGGATAAAAAAATAATTAAATTTTTCTTCATGTAATCGTAACTCAAAAACAAAATATTTCTTAAGATAAAACAGAACACAACGACGATGACCTGTGCTGTCCACTGGTCGGTCCAACATTTGCTGTGGTCCTTCAGGTAGTTCCTTGTAGTTAAAGTACAACTGCTTCTCTCAAAATCCTTAGCTTCCTGTGGCTGCCCATATTGCTTGCCTTATAAGCACTCCTTCGGGTAGGTGTTTATAAGGTTTCAAATGATGCGGAGGGATCCTTGGCTTCCTCTGGTTGCAGCCACATCCTGCCCTGGCTGCACTTCTTCAGATAGGCAAGGCACAAGTTCTTGTAGTAATGGAGGGAAGGCGTCTGGGCTGAGGGATCCTTGGCCTTCTCATCCCAGGAGCGCATGCGCAGTATCGCTTGGAACTGAGGGTGAGCCCGAAATGCATCCACCTCCTGGGGGGTCATGGGTCCTCCTTGGTGCTTCAGGGTCATCTTGCTGGGGTCAGAGAGCGCTGTGGGGAAGGAACAATAACAATAATAACCTTCTTTGACGTAGAAAACATCCTCAAGTAGAGATCCATAAAAACACAAATATATACCATCACAAAATTTAAAAATTATCAGAACTTAGACTCATACTTGTATCACTTGATTACCAAGATATTAATATGAAATACTGCAATACACATTTACTTGACAGCAAAGGATTTATTTCACTATACTCTTTACCATTCACAAATCTATGACACAAATAAATCTTTTATCATCGTGAATCTCTCTCTCTCTCTCTCTCTCTCTCTCACCATCGTAGTAGTCAGGGCTGGTTGCGACCAAGAACCTCTTGGCCTTCACGTGGTTCCTCACGAAGCCTGTGACGGCTGGAGGGAAGCCAAGACGCTCCAGGTACTCCTCTCCTGTAGCAGATGATACGAGAGCAAAATAAAGATTTAATGCCTGCAGGGTAATCATAATAAAACAGCACTGTTTTATGCACCCAAAACATGCTGTTTTATCTTATCTTAATTCTAAAGAAGGTCTGGCTCTTTACCAGAGTGAGATAGAGCGGATTCAACAGTCCATAGTTCATTCCCAACTTTTTCTATTCCCTCTAATTAATCTTCTGGTGAGAAAAGGTTTGGGGGCAGCCATTCTCTTTAACTTCATCTCTTACCCTTGACAAAACATGAACAGACAAAAAAAATAGTTTTCGGGCTTTCCTGTTGGATCATCGTCACCTAAAGGTCCACCGGCATTGGTCTCCCGTGCGTGTGGCCGTGTGCAACCAAGAGTTAGCAAGTACTGCCTGAGCATAACATAGCCTTGGACATTAAACACCAAGGAAAGTTTAGAAATGAACAAACAGAATAAAGTTTGGAATTTGAGGACATTATGTGCAAGTAAATCACTGTAGGTGCGCGTGATGCAAGTATATGCTGATAACCACAAGGAAACAAGAAAACACGAAGTTCCCAAGCGCTTTCGTGTAATTCACATCTTCAGGGGTGAGTACAGACCATGAATGAACTCATTATATGAGTATAGTGTTTCTGGTAAAAGAAAATATACTTCACTATAACCTACCATTACCCACCATAACCTACCTTGACGCATCTATGATCCACCAAGACTCACCTATATTGCACCATGACCTATTTAAACCCTCCTTTAACCCACCTATAACCCATCATGGCCCACCATGAAACGCCCATCACCCACCTAGGACCTCATGGTTGGCGATACCGAGCACGACGCCTTCGGTGACCATGTGTGGTCGGTCTTCACGGAGACCCAGCATGTGTCCGATGTCGTGCAGCAACGCCCCGAGAACCGTCTGTAGGATGCGTAGAAACAGGCGGGAGTTAGGTCGGGCGGAGGAGAGAGCAAGTGAGGAGGGAGGGAGACTGAAAAAGAGAGCGAAAGAAAGAATGAAAGTGAAAAAGTGAGAGAATGAAAGATAAAGTGAGAGAAAGAGGAAGCGCAGTAAAAGAGGGCAGTCAGCCAGAATTAATAGAGACACAGAGGTGATGAAAAAGAAAGAAACAGGCAGACAGACAGACAGACAAACAAAAAGCACAGACAGATAGACAGACAGACAGGGCGTGGAGTTGCAAGAGTGTTCCATGAAATTCCACGACAGCAAAGTATCCAGAACTCAACCTAGGCATGAAGCCCTCATATAAAACTCCTGCTTGAACGAAGAAGCCCTTGGCCTCAACATAGGGACTTACCTCGACGGGGAAGCCTTCATGCTGGGCAAGGTGGGCGGCCTGGAGGGCGTGTTGGACCTGGGTCACCGCCTCGCCAATATAACTCCCCTCCCCGAATTGTTCGAAAAGTGAGAAAACGTCTTGTACCACTGCCTCTGGCTCCATCTGACCTCCTGTTGTCTGTTGAGCCTCTCTGTTGGTCATTGTTAGATACTTCTGTTATCTGTTGGTTTGTTCTGTGTTACGAGTTGGGGATTTAAAAGATAGTTAAAAGTCTACCCAGATCCCAACAGGCAACAACAATAAAAAAACAAAGACAATCGGACTATAAAAGGGTAGACAAAGGATGCGAGTTTTTGTTGTGTATAATAAAGTACCATAAATTCCTTAACAAAATATTCAGCTTTCTTTAATTTACCCTTAACCTTACTTAACCTAAACATACGCAACATTGGCTTAACAGTATATACATATTTACACAACATACAACAATCTGAAGCAAGGTGGAGGTGGGGAGGCAATATAAGATTACAAAATACTCAAGTGCAGTGCTGACATGGCTGACGAGTATGGCTGAGTATTGAAGAAGATGGTAGGTAGTCACTGTACCGTAGGTTTCCAGGATAGGTGATCCTAGTGTGGTCACTTCCCAGAGTGAACTGTACTCTCCTCGAACTGGAGCTGATGAGGAAGACTTGGAGGAGGTGACGCAACAACCAAGATATGGAGAAGGGAAACCCCGGAGTGGTAACTAAGACTAGTCATACTGGGGTTTCGTCCCTAGATAGCGTTGCTCGTGGTGCTGGGTAGGTAGATCATGACAATAGATGGCGTGGTTCGTAGTGCTGGGTAGGTAGATCATGACAATAGATGGCGTGGTTCGTAGTGCTGGGTAGGTAGATCATGACAATTGATGGGGTGGTTCGTAACATCTGTTATGACTTGTTCTGTATGGTATTATATGTTGGTGTATCTCTTGCCTTTTAGTCTGTCTGTTATCTGTTGATGTGTCTGTTTTTCTGCTCTGTCTAATCTACTGAAACTGTAGGTGTTACTTCTTTGTTATTTCATAGGTTGACTGTTATCTTGCTTTCATTCCTATACATCGTTATCAACTTGTCATGGGTTGCGTTAGGCTTACCCACGCAGCCAACTCCAAAGTTTGTTTTACCAGAGATAAGGCGCCCGGCGAGGCATAACTGGGACATGTATTTTTCAATTAGTGTATGTTAGCCAGCCTTTAGGGGGGGTGGGCAGTGAAACAGTGTTGTACTGTTCATCGCTTCACACCCAAAAACCTCATTTTGAGTAGTATCCCCTGAGCCATGGGTTAGTTAAGACGTCGTCTCCATCCTCTCCCTCCTGAAAGGGGGCGGGACACCACACCACACAGAGTCCTCCACCGCCACTCCGTCCTGTGAACCGTCGTCGACACGAGACTAAGCGTGTTAACCTAGGTTGTTATCCCCGTGGAAATATCACGTGTGGATGCCTGGTTGCGACAAGAGCAATCCAGGCTGGCCTATCAAACCTACAGTAAATGGTTAATTAATTCACGCTTACAGAGTTCTCCTGCACGACACCCGTCTACCGTGACCGTGATCGACACGAGACTAAGTGTGTTAACCTAGGTTTGTTATCCCCGTGGAAATATCACGTGTGGAAGCCTGGTTGCGACAAAAGCAATCCAGGCTGGTCTATTGCACCTAATGGTTAATTCAAGTCACGCTTACCAGTTCTACTTGCCGCGACAACCGTCCACAGTGACTGTCAGTGACGCGAGACTATGTGTGGTAACCCAAGAGTACCTTTTTGTTGTTATGGCCGTGGGAAGAAGTTCTTGTGATGAAGCCTGGTTGCAACAAAAGCAATCCAGGCTGGCAGTAAATGTATCACTTGAAGAATTAAGGCTCTGTTAAGTCATACCACAGTAGAGTAATCACATGTGTCCCCAAGTTGGAAATTCCCTGTTTTAGAAGATTAATTTTATTACAGCGTGAACGTGAGTGAACCATATATCCATGCAAATTGTAAATCATTGTATGGAAGCTTGACAAATAAATGTAAGTGCAATTATCTGCCCGTATCTGTGATCCTATCTTATTATTACTGAAGGTAATGACTGATTGGTTATGACATAGTATAACCAATAACTTAGATGGATGTTGAAAATTAAATGAATTCATTAAATCATCATTTATCAAGTATAAATCATGGAATGTCGAGTGGTGGAGTGAACTTCTACGTAGATACGCCATAATCTCCTGTAAGTAACCAGTGTGAAGGTATCAGACTCTACGGTAAGAAATAAGAAATACGACATATTATTATCTTTATATAATATAATCCACTCCTACTCCTACTACCACGGATTCATACCAAAACCATGACACAACTGTTAGTTTTCTAATGGTTTCTCTGTTGTGTGAAGTGTCCCTGTTGTCAGCTGTACTTCAGCTGCACCTACTGTTGTTATCTACCTTTTATTATCTGTTGTCCTTCAGCCAACCATCTGTTTGATTAGCCTGTCTGTTCTGTTATTTGTGTCCCTGTTTCGCCTGTTGCGTCTGTCAATAAATTATGAGGAAGGAATGTCAGTATTTTTCCTGTTGTTTGCTATTTGTCTACGTTTCTTTTTCTGCTTAATGGTGTTTGTTCATGATGACTGTTTACATTATGCAATCAATTAATCAAAATATCGTCTTCATATTTGAGGGTTGGCAACCAGAGTCCTCCACTCCAAACGCCGCAAAGAAAAAAAAAAGATTATAAATTGAGCTTGAATGTGCAGAAAAATGTTGGTTGAGACCTGGCAACACTGGCTCAGACAGTTTGTCAGACCTCGCCCTCGTGTGTGTCACTCTTCATTGTAATGGATTTTCTTTTGACTGTCTTGGCTGTAATAGATACAAATTTTAACCATCATGGAAGGGATTAAGTAGAGATATACAGAAAAATAACCGTGGGCTAATATAATATGGATAGCAAAATAAGGTAGGTGGTAGAAAGAGTGTACCGTCAAGGTGCCATTAACAAACCTGATTAATTTCGTTCGTGTTTCTGTTTAAGGATATAAGCGTGAATAGAAAAATTACAATTGGCTCTCATGTCAAGTGTACCAAAAAGACCTAAGCTCTTTGGTGCCCAGGGAAGAAAGAGAAGAAAAGAGGAAGAGGAAAAACTGGCCAAAGACAGAGGTAGGCATCAGATGAGCGCGTTTTGATAATCATATACTGTTAGTTGCTTTTAAATCAGATGTCTTTAGAAATATCTGTGATTCTTTTTATTATTATGTTAAAGGTTATATGCCATGGAATAGGCTGTTATTACTGAGTTTTGATTTGTTATTGTTGAGTTTGTCATTTTACACGCAATGTATTATGGTTTTGTCGTTATGGGCAATGAGCTAGAGCTATTATTACAGGGCTGAACTGTATTTTTTGTGATAATGTTACAGACTATACGTCATGGCATAGGCTATTAATGCTGGGTTTAACTGTCAAGTGTCAACTGCTTTGTTATCATGTAATGCACAGCCCTATTGTTTGTTGTTTCAGATGCACTGCTGTACTGTCACAATTCACGCTGGTAACAGTCCTGCCAAATACACGTCAAAAGATTACCTAAGTTGCTGTATTAATTGCAGTAAACTGTTTTATGACAGCCACCTTTTACAGTAAAATTTTTATTGAGCTTCATAATCAGGTGAATAAATTATTGACACCTTGTAGTATTTTTTAGTCTTTTCAGAGATACGCTTTTTAGTAATAACGCTTTAGAAATTATTATTATTATTATTATTATTATTATTATTATTATTATTATTATTATTATTATTATTATTATTATTATTATTATTATTATTATTATTATTATTATTATTATTATTACTATCCAGTGCCATGTTCTTCTGTCTCTGTTACACAAAAGTGTTGTGGCAAAATTTACCGTCAGCAGTCCTTTTATCACCTCTTTACGCATTACAAAGTCTGTATTACAGCTGTAAGAACTGTATCTGTGCGTGACGGTCGTATACAAAACTGGCGTTCTGAAATTGTTGTGATTGTGGACGGTTGTGGTGGTGGCGGTACTCCATCACAGGTCACACAAGCGCCTGGCGCATATGGAGTTTCATGCTGGTGCCACCCGAAATAGATCCACAAAAACTGGCGGTGTGCAGCCAATAATAGTTGAGTCTGCCCCCTTGCACCCGGCCTTGGGGTAGCTGCTGCCCTCCATACTCTCTCGTCTCTCACTCTCAGATTATTCCCATTTTTTGTGTTATATCCTGATTCAGTGGTAAAGGTGAGACTCCAGAATACACCACTAATGAAAATTGTCTAGATTCGTGATTTGTAATGGTCGAATTTATATCAATTAGAACGTAAATAACTTTAAATTAGCTTAAAATTGCGAGACGTATCTACTCGCCAACTGTGCCAGCTCGTGGGAGGAACAAAAATGTCAGGGGATCTGGATTTTTCTCTTTCTTCAATTCGCTGTTGGCTTCATGGTGAGGGCGGTTCATTGACACAACCTACTACACACCCACACACACCCACACACACCTATATCCTCCCTCCTACCACCTCACAACACCGCCAGAGAAACTTATAAAATGGAGTACGTGTCTAAAAATACCTGTGAGTAGTAGAGGGTGAGCTGCTGATGACTGGCTGGCCAGCGTCCGATATCGGTGGCAGCCCACTCACTGCCAAGGTCACTCCCGCCTCACCTACCTTCCCAGTCTCTCTCTCTCTCTCTCTCTCTCTCTCTCTCTCTCTCTCTCTCGTTATCATTTGGTTTCTCCCAAACATGTGACACTTGTAATTTCTGAGGTTCATGACAGTTAATATTTTAAAAAACATACAAGACATCGTACTGTATCAGAAGAAAATATGCCACTTTTACTCCCAGGAGGAAGCTGTCATACCAAGCTCTCAACCAATACTTAGCAAACCAGTAAACTAAACACATTCAAACTTTTCCCACCAAATATAAGAAATACTAAAATGATTAAGAAGAGATTTAGTTACGTTTGAACAACTAACTTTTTGTCAAATGAGAAATTATTCAAGACAGAGGAGGAAGACTAGGAGTGGTGACGGTGGACTGTACCTGTAGATTACCTGTGTTATCTCCTGCTGTGTTAAGGAAATGTTTTGTAAGGTTGATAAATGGATATCTGGCACTACACACACACACACACACAGATACAGTACACACGTGCACACTTGAGTCTTAAGCACACACACACACACACACATGTATATATATATATATATATATATATATATATATATATATATATATATATATATATATATATATATATATATATATATATATATATATATATACCACACCCCTCCTAACACCATCTGTGAGGAATTACTACACACACACACACACACACACACACACACACACACACACACACACACACACACACACACTGATCGCTATAAGAACAGCCCAGTCCCAACCATTGTAAAAATTATCAACAACTCGTAATCAACCAGAGTATTCACTCCCAGTCAATCTTACCTTTTTGTACTGTCACTATGTTGAAATGCCCTGAAGTATAACCTTCTCCCCACCCAGTATTATAAGTCATATTTGTATCACTTAGGCTACTTGTATATTACTGTATCTGTCAATCAAGTGACCCATTCCCCAATTATATAACTGTATCTTTTCAGCCTTCCGGCTGCCATGCTCTTTCAATAAACCGTTCATTATTATTATTATTATTATTATTATTATTGCACACACACACACACACACACACACACAGCTGTCTCCACCTTTCAGTCACTCACCTGTGGCGTCCACCAAGGCACCAAGATGGGACCACTCTGCTTCCTTATGCTCATCAATGATGCCCTAAGAGAAACCCCTGCTCGCTGGAAATATGTCGACGACTCCACCATTGGGATCAGCGTCAACAATTCTGCTCCCAACTATACCGCCCTTCAGGATTTATTGAACAGTCTCCAAAACTGGGCCACCAACAACCATATCACCATCAACCATACCAAGACCATGGTTATGCACATCAACCTCTCCTCCGACATTGTCCCACCTCCTTCCATTACTCTAGGTCCGAACACACTCCAGGTTGTAGATTCCACGAAGCTCCCCAGCGTCACCATAGACAACAAACTAAATTGGAAACCACACGTCAGTGAAGTTGTCAAATCCTCCAGTTTCCGTCTCCACCTCCTCCGCCGACTCAAGTCCCTCGGAGTTCCTGCACACGAGCTCCTCAGTGTTTACACAACATTCATACTTCCCAAGCTCACCTATGCCTCCCCCACCTGGTCTTCCTCCCTAAATGCCACACAACGTAAACACCTAGAAAAAGTGCAAAAGAGGGCATGCAAGATTATTCTCTCCCCTTCCTACTCCACATATCAAGAAGCGCTCAACACACTGACCCTTTCGACTCTCACTGACCATCACCACGACCTCATCTGCAAATTTGGTAAGAAGCTTCTACACCATCCCCGACACCGGCTCCTACTACCACCTGAGATCCCTTGTCCGAGAATTGCTGTTCGACACCACAACCGCATCCAGCCCATACGTGCACGAACTGATCGCTATAAGAACAGCCCAGTCCCAACCATTGTAAAAATTATCAATAACTTGTAATAAATCAGTGTATTCACTCCCAGTAAACACTGCTCCTTACACTGTCACTATGTTGAAATGCACTGTAGTTTGAGCTTTTCCCCATCTAGTTATTATATGTCTTATTTGTGTCACTTATGTTACTTGTATATTATTTGTAATTCGTAACCCATTCCCCAAATATGTAACTGTATATTTTCAGCCTTCTGGCTGCCAAGCTCTTTCAATAAACCGTTAATTATTATTATCATTATTATTTATTATTACTAGTATTTATCAAATTTTTTTTCTAAATTTTTGTCGGGTTATTTTCGTGCTGCGTTGTCGTGGATTACTGGGCGTGGACTCCGTGCTCGCATACCTCACAACAGTCTCAGAGTCTCGTAAGTGAAAGTATTCCCCTTAAATGTAGGTGTTTCTCTGAGCATCTTCACCCTGGACCTCCACAAGCTTGGCCAAGGTAATGCGTCGCCCTATAGAGAAATTATGTTTTGTAATGTATATTATGTATTTATTATCTGAGTTAAGGCAAAAAAAGGTGTGTAAAGGGTTTGCACCGTCGTCTTCGTCATCGCCGGCGTTGTAGTCATCATCTTCATCGTATTCGTCGTCTTTAGCGTATTAATCGTTGTTGTTGTAAACGTAATCGTTATCATAGTGGTAGTCGTCATCGTCATCATCGTGGTACTCTTCATCTTCATCGTATTCGTCGTCTTTAGCGTATTAATCGTTGTTGTGGTAGTCGCCAGAGTCATCATAGTTTTCATGGACGTCGTCAAATAATTGCGGCTTCAACGTAAATTTCAAATTCAAAGTTACCTTTTGACTGCGTTGGTACAGTTCAAGAAAGCCTTCTCTAAGCATGAATACATTTTACACATCTATATATTAATACATATCTCATCTTTATACATTGATACACTGTACACAACTATTCATTAACTCATTGCCTGTATAATTTAATACATTACATCCACCTCGTTCCCTCGTCACGTATCTACTTATCAATATACCTTCACCCTACTTTATCTCTTCCCTCAACATACCCTTATTCTCTCTCTCGCCCCCCCCACCATCAACACACCTTCACTGTCTCTCCCGCTCTCCTCCCTCATCAACACACACTCCCCCGTCATCAACACACCCTCATGCTCCCCCCTCATCCACCCTCATGCCCCCCCCTCATCACTCTTACATTCTCTCATTCCCTCCTTCCCCTCACATCCATCACGATATACAACAGTGAGTCACTTTATTACTTTAACCCTCACTCGATCAGATGACAATGTTAATTTCTCTCTCTCTCTCTCTCTCTCTCTGCATTCCTCATTCCCAAGTCTCTTATTTTTAAACTTGACCTAGAAAAAAGCGACAGGTATATTGTCTCAGGTGATCCTTCCTGTGGTATGTGAGTCTCCTTAAGGGCTCAGGTAACCCCACAGTCAGATAAACATTGGCTCACCTTAGTTAACAATACCAACCGGGCGTATTTCACTACACGAGACCACTTTTACCCTCAGCTATTTTTACCAAGACCTGGTCTTCTGGGTCGGCCGGGACACACCTCACTCAGCTACCCCAGACATTACACAACTTTTTAGGGGCGCTCCTCCTCTTCCTACTCCTCTGCCATTTCTTCCTCCTCTCCCTCTTCTTACTTCCATTTCTCTTCATCCTCCCATTTCTCTGTCCAGTGCTTCTTCTCTTCCTCTTCTTCCTACTCCTCTTCCTATTATTCTTCTTCCTCTTCTTCCACCTCCTCCTCTTACCCCTTCCCCTCCTCCTCGTCGTTGTCCTCTTCTTCTTCTTCCTCCTTCTCTTCTTCCTCCTTCCCCCTTCATCATAAGCACCACCCCCCTTCATTACAAGCACTACCCTCCCCCTCCATTATAAACTTCACCCTCCCATTTCATTATTAGCACCACCCTCCACCTCCATTATTAACACCACCCTCTCCCTTCATTATAAGTACCACCTTCCCCCTCATTATAAGCACCACCCTCCCCCACCATTATAAGCACCATCCCCTCCATTATAAGAACCATCCTCCCCTTCATTATAAGCACCACCCTCACCCTTCATTATAAGCACCACCCTCACCCTTCATTATAAGCACCACCCTCCCTGAGGCGGAAAACTTCCTCCCAGAATCTCAATGTGGTTTTAGACCATCACGTGGCACCGCTGTCATGATCTTTGCTGCCCGCCAGATACAGGAAAATTGCAGAGAACAGCGTCGTGACCTGTACAATGTACATGGCTTTCATCAACCTAACCAAGGCTCGGTCGACAGCCTTCTAGAGGATCCAGCGGTAGCACATGCTTTCATAGAGCAGCTCGACCGTGAGCTGATAAAAAACTGAACACCAAACAACCCAAATCCCAGTGTCGAATGTGATATTCTCGACACTGTCATAACAAAAACCTGCAGAGAGACCCTCGGCCAGATCGAAAGAATATACCAGAATTGTTTTGATGACATTGCCCTGGAAATCAATGTACTCGTCGATGATAAACGTGCTACTTTAACTGACTGGCAGAACAACTCTCAGTCTCACAAGAAGAAAGCAGTGGCCCAGCGCGAACTTCGCAATCTAAAGAACGACTGGTTTAAAAATAAAGCATGTGAAACAAAAAATTGCAGATCAGCACAAAATGCGCTAATTTTTCAATTCCACGAAAACATTTTATGGGCCAATCACTCATGGCCCAGCCTTCCCCCACTCATCCGACACTAACTCCCTAATTAAAGATGAAGAAGGCATCCTTCAGCACTGAAAACAGCACTACCATTCGCTACTCAACCGAAACACAGATGTGGATGTCCTGACTACCCAGCAGGTCTTCAGCATCCAGAGCTGACCCTTCTCAGCTATTCTCCATCCCTGGATGAGGTAGCTACTGCCGTCAAACAGATGAGAAATAACAAAGCCTCAGGGCTTGATGGAATCCCAGTCGAGATGTATTTTGCTTACCAACCGCCTCCACTCTCTCCTGGAGAATACATGGGAAAAGGAGGAAATCCCCCAAGCTCTTGAAGACACCTTCTTCATCAATATTATAAGAACAAGGAAAACTGGTCAGACTGTAGCAACTACCGTGGA